TTTACCTCCTAAACTCTCTCCAATTGATCAGCTTCTCTTTACCTCACTCCCACACTCCTGTAGAAGTGTCATCATCCCTGGATTAGAATACAAGATTCCCGCCCTCATAAAAATGTATTATGTCTCCTTCCTATTTCTCCTCCTCTTTGCTTTCTTTTCCCCTCCTTTCACTTCTCCTCACCTTCCTTTTCTATCCCTTCTTGAAAAATTAGTCCCAAACCATCTGCAGTGTGTGGGGAGGTGGGGAACTCAGTGGCCCAGTGTGGGTATCCAGCCTGACCTGGGTGAACACTGTCCACATGGGGCAAGAATGTGTCCTAAGGTGGGGCATCAGAGCCCATGCATGTTAAGGAAGTCACCCCAAGGGAAGGTGGCTTGGAATGGGGGCTCAGGGCCGCAGCAGGGAGGGAGTGCCAGAGATGATGAAAGATAAGCTACATATATAGTGGAACTGATCAAATAGATTTATATATTTAAGGATACCAGATGCCAGGTTTTTCAGTCTTAAGGTGGAAATTACAAGTAGAGAAAGAGGAAACTAGAATGATCCCAGCGATCTGTGGTGTTAGATTGGGGTTGGAGGGATCAGCAGATTCATGGTTTTCAGGCAGATAGATGAGGTACAGATATAAATGTGACTGTGTGTATGGTTTATGCACATGTGTTTTGTGTGGGTGTGTTCCTTCACTCTGTCCACCGAGAGGGACTGAGAGGAGAGACAGCCCAAGAGCGACGACCCCATGTCATGTCTGACCTTTCCTTCTAATACCATTTTCCAGTAAAAGAGACTGGACTCCTTGTAGGATTGGCCAAATCTGGGGTGGGCAGAGAAAGTACAAGATGTGCCTGTGCACACGGAAGAATTCAAAACAAACAATAACCACAATTAAACCAGGAAAATATGGCAAAAGGACACGAAGCCTCCTTGAATGGGTACCCACTGGCCAAGTCTGCATTATAATGTAGCCCAGAGCCTCTCAGTGTAATTACCAACAAAAATTGTTATTTAAAATACAGACCTATGAGTCCCATCCCCCAAATTTCAGATACACTGGTCTGGAGTGGGGCCTAAGGATATACATGTTTATCGAGCACCCCCGTGTTTCTGATGCAAAGGTTCTGGGGACGTCGTTGTAAGAACCGTGGCTCCAGCCGCTCCATCGTCTCTCTGTCGGCCGGGCTACCGTCTCCTCCCTCCACATTGCATGTGCTACGGTGGTTCTCCTCTGGCTGAACTGCTTTCAGATCACTAGGAGAGTCCACAGTGAACTTACTGCAGAGTATTTTTAACAGAGCAGGAATATGTGAAAAGCAGTTTATGGTGGTCAGAAGCAGTGGAAGAGTTTATTTTTTGAAAAAATAGGAGAGAAAGAAAATACAGGCAAACATACCAGGCAGGTTTGAGGTGGGAGGGAGGAAATTCCAGACACCAGGAGCTGGAAGAGCCAGTGGGATCCAGCAAAGAGCTATTGCTACCAAGTCTCCTCCAGGGTGAGCAGCTCTGGGTTTTCTGATGATTCCTCAATTATTTCCTGTCCTGCCTTTATTCCTGTTTCCCTCCTCAGCTTGTATTTTCCTTTGTGTATCTCATTCTTGTAGACCTCATGGAATGGCTTGACCAGTGCAGAATAGAGCAGAATCAATAAGTTTTAGAATCTAGATATGGTATTTCTGCTAAGATAGCCCAGGATTCCATGAGCTATTGGGGTGAGAGGTAAAAGAGTGCTGATTATGGACAATAGTATGTTTGCTGACCTCTTTTCTTCATGTCCTTCTGCTAAGCCATATTACACCCAAACTATATGTAGCAGAGATGTTTTAGTGGCTCATTTGGTGCCTTGTCGTTCTACTGATTTATTAGAAAACATCACAAATGTGCAAAGATGTCAAAGGCCTTCTTCTACTAATAGGCAGCTAGGGTGGGAAGAGTGTTGGTGAGCCCTTCTCTCTGATTTCAGATTACATGTAGATTCTTCAGTTTCAACACTTACGTGGCATCATACTAGCTTTCACATGTCTCCCAGCTGATTGCAAACTACTTCTGGGACAAACCTTATGTTACTTACTCCTACAACTCCAACACCTGCCTATACAGTAGGTGCTCATTCCTGTGTGAGCAACTCCAGGCAAAGGACAGGCGTGAGAATGCCAGCGTCCAGGTCCAGGTAATGGTCCTCAGCAACCAACATCCAGAAATAAAGAGACATCAAGTGCCTCCTGAGGCATGAACCCACTGCTACCCATGATGCAGTGATGCAAGACAAAATAACTGTCCCTGAATCTGATCATGCCTCTGGATATAACTACCAGTTTACAGGACATGGAACAGAAGAATGAGCTAAATGGCACTAATGGGATGCAGCTCGGTGAAAGCTAGATTATGGGAAAATTCTACAGGACAACTGTTTCTTCAATTAAAAAAAAAAAAAAAGAAAAAATAGATGAAAGGGGGTATCTCTAGATAAGAAAAGACATGGGATTTATCAGTTCATCACAAAGTTTGGATCTTATTTCGATTACAATTCAAACAGATGGAAAACATTTTAAGAGAATCAGAGAAATGTAAACTCTACTTAGTGATACTTAGCAATTATTATTTTTATTTTTTTATTGAAGTATAATTGATATATAATATTACACTGGTTTCAAATATACAACTTAGTGAATCAACAGTTATATACATTACTAAATCCTCACTGTAACTAGTGTAGTTACTCTCTGTCGACATAGAAAGATGTTACAGAACTATTAGCTATATTCTCTATGCTGTATTTCATCTCTTTGAATAATTTACATTATGACTGAGATTTTGTGCCCCTTTATCCCCCTCACCTTTTTCACCCATCCACCCCAACCCCTCCCCCATGGTAACCAGCAGTCACTTCTCAGTGTCGATGAGTCTACTGCTGTTTTGTCCATTTTGTTTTGTTTTTAGATTCCACATATAAGTGAATCATATGGTGTTTGTCTTTCTCTGCCTGGTTTATTTCACTGAGCATAATGCCCTCTAGGTCCATCCATGTTGTCACAAATGACAGGATTTTTTTTTCTTTATGACTGAATACTACTCCATTGTGTATATGTACCACCTCTCCTTTATCCATTCATCTACTGATGGACACTTTGGTTGCTTCCATATCTTGGCTATTGTAAGTAATGTGGCGATAAACATAGGGGTGCATGTATCTTTTGGAATCAGAGATTTTGTTTTCTTTGGGTAAATTTCTAGATGTGGAGTTACTGGGTCACTATATAATTATTAATATTTTATGTGTGATAACAGAAAAAATAAAATGGGCTCTATTCTTTTTCATTGATCAAAATGTCTATGTTTATGTCAATATTATACTATACTGATTATTATAGCTTTAGTTCATTTAACAACAAAGACAAAGAATAAAGATCACAGAGTCATTTACATTCTTAAAGAGGATATAGAAAACATGAACTACAAAACAAAGGGAAGACAAACTGGACTTCATCAAAATTAAAAACTTCTATGTTTTGAACAACATTGTCAAAACTATGAAAAGATAAATCACAGGCTGAGGGAGAGTACTTGCAAAATATTTATCTTACCAAAAAGGTTACTATCCAGAATATAGGAAGAACTCTTACAACTTAATAATAAGACAAACAATCCAGTTAAAAAATGGGGAAAGGTCTGAACAGCTCTTAAATAAAGGTGATACCTAAGTACATAAAAATATGCTCAACATTATTAGTTACTAAGGAGATGAAAGTCAAAGCCACAGTGTGCTATCATTACATGTTCACCAGATGGCTAAAATTAAGAACACAGACTACATCAAGTGCTGTCTAGAAGGCGGAGGAACTGCAGTTCTTAATGAATTTCTGGTGAGAATACGAAATGGTAGAGTCACTTTGGAAAACGGTTTATAGTTACTTATAAAGTTAAACATTAAACTGTCCCTTTGACCCATCAATCCTTCTCCCAAGGGAAATAAAACAAATGTCCGTCAAGGCCATATGAAAGTGTATATACCAGAATTGTTCATAACAGGCTCATACTGGGAACAATTGAAATGCTCATCAGCTGACAAAAGGGTAAGCAAGGTGTGGTCCATCCGTACAGTGGCACATTACTCAGGGATGGAAAGGGGCAAATGGCAGGTCTCTTCAACGACTTGGGTACATGGCAAGTGCATTTCATTAAGTGAAAGCGGTCAGACACAGAAGACTAAGTACTATGTGATTCCATTCATGTGACATTCTGGAAAAGGCAAAACTATGAACACAGAAATCATATAAATGAGCCAGGAGCTGGGAATTGAGGGTGGGATGGCTGGGGATTGACTTTGAAGACAAGGGCCCTCTTTGGGGTGATAAAAAGTTTCTGTACATTAACTGTGATGGTATTTGAATAGCTGTATTCAAGTGTGAAAACTTATCAAGCTGCACACTTTCCAAAGGTAAATATTATTGTATGTAAATAGAACTCAGTAAACCTGACTTTAAAAACTACTGAGTAAAATAGGACAGAGCAGAAAAGTTCTGTATTCTCCCAGAACTTTACTGGGACAGACAATTTGCATGCTAATTATTCTTCATATGGTAAAAAGTATTCATGTCTGCCTGTCATGTTTCATTGAGGCCAGAGCTAGAGTTTCACATAGTGAAGAATGGGAAGAGAGAAGAAAAAATGAGAAACACTCTTGGGCTGGTTTAAAAAATGAAACCATAATGTAGGGGGTGGGGTACGGGGCGGGCTCTACAACACAGAGAAGACAAGTAGTGATTTTACAGCATCTACTATGCTGATGGACAGTGACTGTGAAGGAGTATGTGGGGGGGACTTGGTGAAGGGGGGAGCCTAGTAAACATAATGTTCTCCATGTAATTGTAGATTAATGATACCAAAAAAAAAAAAAATGAAACCAGTTTACTGTATTTACACAAAGGGAGTCTGACCTGTTGAACAACCTTCCTGATGGTGAAACTTATAAGGATCCCGCCCATTGCTGACTACTTATGAAGGAAGCAAAATTGTTCTGGCTGGCTGTGATGACCACTGTATGGAAGTTTTTCAGATTCTACAGAGAGTACTAGACAGAAGTAGCTGTGATGAATTGTGAATTACAGAGCAGGGAATTCTTAGAGGTGAGCCCTGACCTGTGACCCTGGACTCACCTTCAGGGCCCCTCCTCCTTTCCTCTCAGGTAAGAAAATGATTTGGACAATGTGCTACCTGAGATACTGGGAGCTTCATGGGCTATTTCCTTAAGAGAGTAGGCTCCCAAAGAAAGAAATGCTTAACACAAATAAATTTCTAGTTGATGGTTTGCCGCTTCCCTGGGGAGGGATGGCCTGACGCAGGCTCCCTGCTGACTGCTGGAGTTGTGGTGTGTCCGTGATAATCTGCTCTGTGGATGCACTCACTGCAGGCGTCATTTAGAGGGAAGTTTGGGTTTCTATCCGTAAGTGCTTGTTAAACGTTCTAGTTTATGAAAGGTGGGGCACGAGGCATTTCATCTGCCTGTTGTCATGGGCACCATGATGTGATAGCGTGCCTCCTGGCTCTGAGTGGTTATGGGCTTTGTTAACTTTGGATCTGTGCTCATAGGTTAAGTGAAGGCTCTACCCTTTGCTCTCTTTCAGTCCCATGCTTCGTGCTCCCCTCTCGTGATGTAATTCTCTTCCACAGCTTCAGGGCCACCCATATGCTGACAGTTAGTACACTCATCTGTCTTGGGTCAAGAACCATATACCTGACCAACTACAGGCATCTCTGCTGGAATATCACACAGACCTTTATGGCACGTGGACATTCCCTGTTATATTCTCTGTTTGAATAATGGCTCAAAGATGGGCCCCACTGTCAAAATCAGAGAATTGGGGTGTATCTCTGTTCTCCTGTTCTCTTATCCCCTACATTTAATCTGGCTCCAAAACCCTAAAGAGCCTCACTTGTTCATATTTTAAAACCTTTGCTCCCATCCTCATTTATTCTGCCTTGTTCCTGGTCCCTATTATCTCTTACACAGATGATTAACTGTTCTTTCACCTCATCCACCTTCCTATACTGGACAGCTGACTTGTATTTTTTTGGTCTTTGCAGAATCTAGCTCCTCACTTCCTATTTTGGGGATCCACTCATTGTCCCCCAGTATGCATTTCCCTTCTTCCACAGTTTTAGAATTTTACTGGTCACATGGCCACAGAGAATCTTGACTCCATTTGTCAGCTTTTCTTGAAGCTGGATGTGCCTATTGTTACCAAATTCTGGAGAATAGCTTGTAAGTGGATGTGAGACATGCAACTTCCAGGTTACACTCTTGAAAGAAAGGAGCATGCCATCTTGTTATTTTTTTTCCATTTTTCTGCAGCTGGAATGGAAAAGTGATGGTGGGAGCTGGAGCAGCCATGTTGGACCACGAAGCAGAAACTGCAGGTGGAGGATTGCAGAGTGAAAATACAGCAGGAAATTGGGCCAGTGCAGCTTCATAAAGCAGGGCTGCCAAACCAACCCAGGCCTTTATATGAGGGGGAAATAAATGTCAGCCTTGTTAAGTCATCATTAATTTTGGTCCTTGTTACTACAGTCAACCAGACACATTAACTAATACTCAGTTTATGAAGTCACAGTGGCCAGTTATCCCTCTCAGCCACCCGGCAACCCTGGGCTTGGGCAGACGGCTGAGGGGGGTGGGGGGACAGTCCTGGGCTCCCCTGGGCAGTGAAAGCTGATTCAGAACAGCAGCGGCACTGAGGTCCTGCTGCAGCAGAATCCTCTTGGACAAACCCTGCAACGCTGGGACAACCGCCGTGCCTCCTTCAAACCGCCTTTCTAAACCTGCTCTTCCAGCCTCTCGATAATTTGGTGTACTCCTGATAGCCTTTCAATAAATCGCCCTTTTTCTTTAAGTGAGCAGAATGGATTTATGTAACTTGCAACAAGAAAAATACCAAATTGTTGCCCTGAATTCGGTTCACATTCTCCCAAAGGAGCACTGCTGACTCCACCGTGCTGATGAACCAAGGTCCAATTCTGCTCTTCCCTTGCTTAACCCAACAGGGTCTCCTCAGTCACTGCCTAGTGTGGCCTGTGGAGCCTTCCAGGACCTGCCCAGCCTCCCCGCCCCAGCCTCCCCCGTGCCTGCCTCCACCCCTCAGCCCCCCACCTCGTGGTTCACGCTGTCACTTGGCAGGCACCATGTCTGCACCTCACCTCTCCCGCCTGGGGCTCCCGACCCCTCCTTCGCACCCCTGCTCGTCAGTGCTGATTCAAGAGGCACCCTGGCGTCCCTCGCCCCCCGTAGAGCTTTCCTGACCCCCTACTCTGGGCACCTACGGCGTCTCCAGGCCTGTTCTCTGGGCTTCACACCGCGCCTTTCGGAACCCCTCACCCGGAGCTCTTGCTCGTGGTCACCTATTTCCATGACTTCCTCCCCATCTCGTGTTATCTATTTTTCGATTTCTAGCGTCTCTTATGCGGTTGGTGCTTAATACACACGCTTCAAATGAAAGACGAGTAACTTTCCTAACATTTGAAAAGCTTAAAAACAAATCGTTAGGTGGCAGCCGAATCCTTCTGTTAAAACCGGCCATTGCCTGTCCTGATTTCTTGAAACCCACGTGTGGCAGCAGGTGGCGCTCTCTGACACAAAAAGCTCTTCTCACTCACCGGGTCCCTCCCAGCTTCCCCTCTCCCATCCTGGCTCCTTCTAGAAAACAGTGATGCACGGTTTGCCCTAACCTATGTGTGGACACATCCATATTAAAAACCGAAACCATAAACATTCACACAGTTTACTATCAGCAAGGCTACTATTCATTGTCTTCACCAACAAACAAGTCTTTGCTGTTCCCAGAATTGCTTGTCCAGGAAGCGAAGGGTTGCAAAATCAGCCTGTTAACTTTCCAGTCAGTGGCATCAAACAGCTGTTTGCTCCCCAAGAGTTTTCAAAACTCTTGCTGCCCACCAAGCTTCGATTACTATTATATCATAATCTTTACCAAATTCTAATCAAGTCCATATTGAATGACCCCCTTTAAATCAAACCCCGAAATGTCACAGATGTCTTGAGTTTGCCCTCTGGTTTTGAGATTCTACTAGGACTTAACTAGGCAATGATTTCCCTTTTGGAGGTGAGCAATCAGCTCAACTTTGCCTGATCAACACACTGCTTTAGTAGTAACTAGGGGGAGCCAGCATTTGACAATATGACATGTAAACCTGACCAGCCGGTGTATTTAAGGCTCTGCTACTCAAAATGTGGAGTCTGTTAAAAATGCAGAGGCTTAGGCCCCATGCCAACCCTATGGAATCAGGATCTGCCTTTTAACCAGATGATCGCTGTGCGCCTTGAACTCCGAGGAGTGTTGTTCTTACAGTATTCCCCTGGCCTTGGCCTCTAAAGAATAAGTGCAGGCTGAAAATTTAAACTTTAAAGAACAATTGTTTTTTTCTTCTGTTTTTAGTTGAAGTTTATCTAGTTGACATTAAAACCAACAAAAAAGAAGACAGATTTGGAGTTAAGCCTCTGTCTAATTAGGAAGCTCTTGAATTTTGCTTTGGACAAACCTGTCTTAAGAGGATGGGTGGGTTCTTTGTGTTTGGGGAAACATGTATCTACTGAATTCATTTAAATGATTGAAAAAACCCTGCCAGTGTTTCCTGGGAGAGATGTCGAGGCCATGGGCTTGTAGTCCCTGGAGACAGTAGTAATTCACAGGCGGAGTTTGTGCTTGGTAACATTTAGGCAGCTGATTGATGAAATTCTTTCAGGATGTTTTTATCTGGATTTGTTATTTATAACATCCTGTCTTAACATCTTGTATTTGTGCCTTTTTTCAGGTGTGAGCCCCATTTGTCTTAGAGATATCTGTTGCTGTACCAAATAGATGTAATGGAAAGAATGTGGTACTTGAGGTTGGAAGACAGGAATAAAATCACAGTTCTGTCATTTTCTGGCTGAATAACTTGGGGCTATTCCCTTAACCTCTCTGAGCCTCATTTCCTCATCCTAAAATGAGGGAAGTCTTATCTATGTACAGGGGCTGATTTGGGGGTCAAGAGAGATACAGTTTATTATAAAAGTTCTACAAACCAGCCTTTGCACTTATGGTCATTTGTCTTAAACTCTCTGCCAAGAGGACCCACGTGTTACTGTGCATTGCAATAATGGATATTAATGACTTAAGTAATGCACCCCATCACTTTAAGGACAGAGGGGAAAGGCCAGAGTTTCTAGAGATAATGGCTTATCACTCAAACAACTTTTCCTAATGGTGTAAGTCTTGGCAACTTTGGAAGTATAGTAGGCATGTGGTTCTGGTCAGGGATAGCTCCTGTGACCCCTGAGGATCTGACTGGCTTTATTAAGCAACTCTCGGACCAGGCAGCATCCCATCTGGCATGTAGAGAGATGCTCCAAAGTATTGTACAAAAGTGAAGGATTTTATAAGGAGTGGGCAACAAAATTATTAGCAAAAGAAAAGATTATTTCAGGCAAGGTCTTCCTTTAGGGGGAAGAACAGGGCTTATGGGACAGATTACCTCCGTGTGCTGACCAGATAATTACCTATTGATGGCTAACTCGGCAGTTCTTGGGGCCGTTGAAACTGCATTGGGCAGAATTGGGGTGTATCTCTGTTCTCCTGTTCTCTTATCCCCTACATTTAATCTGGCTCCAAAACCCTAAAGAGCCTCACTTGTTCATATTTTAAAACCTTTGCTCCCATCCTCATTTATTCTGCCTTGTTCCTGGTCCCTATTATCTCTTACACAGATGATTAACTGTTCTTTCACCTCATCCACCTTCCTATACTGGACAGCTGACTTGTATTTTTTTGGTCTTTGCAGAATCTAGTTCCTCACTTCCTATTTTGGGGATCCACTCATTGTCCCCCAGTATGCATTTCCCTTCTTCCACAGTTTTAGAATTTTACTGGTCACATGGCCACAGAGAATCTTGACTCCATTTGTCAGCTTTTCTTGAAGCTGGATGTGCCTATTGTTACCAAATTCTGGAGAATAGCTTGTAAGTGGATGTGAGACATGCAACTTCCAGGTTACACTCTTGAAAGAAAGGAGCATGCCATCTTGTTATTTTTTTTCCATTTTTCTGCAGCTGGAATGGAAAAGTGATGGTGGGAGCTGGAGCAGCCATGTTGGACCACGAAGCAGAAACTGCAGGTGGAGGATTGCAGAGTGAAAATACAGCAGGAAATTGGGCCAGTGCAGCTTCATAAAGCAGGGCTGCCAAACCAACCCAGGCCTTTATATGAGGGGGAAATAAATGTCAGCCTTGTTAAGTCATCATTAATTTTGGTCCTTGTTACTACAGTCAACCAGACACATTAACTAATACTCAGTTTATGAAGTCACAGTGGCCAGTTATCCCTCTCAGCCACCCGGCAACCCTGGGCTTGGGCAGACGGCTGAGGGGGGTGGGGGGACAGTCCTGGGCTCCCCTGGGCAGTGAAAGCTGATTCAGAACAGCAGCGGCACTGAGGTCCTGCTGCAGCAGAATCCTCTTGGACAAACCCTGCAACGCTGGGACAACCGCCGTGCCTCCTTCAAACCGCCTTTCTAAACCTGCTCTTCCAGCCTCTCGATAATTTGGTGTACTCCTGATAGCCTTTCAATAAATCGCCCTTTTTCTTTAAGTGAGCAGAATGGATTTATGTAACTTGCAACAAGAAAAATACCAAATTGTTGCCCTGAATTCGGTTCACATTCTCCCAAAGGAGCACTGCTGACTCCACCGTGCTGATGAACCAAGGTCCAATTCTGCTCTTCCCTTGCTTAACCCAACAGGGTCTCCTCAGTCACTGCCTAGTGTGGCCTGTGGAGCCTTCCAGGACCTGCCCAGCCTCCCCGCCCCAGCCTCCCCCGTGCCTGCCTCCACCCCTCAGCCCCCCACCTCGTGGTTCACGCTGTCACTTGGCAGGCACCATGTCTGCACCTCACCTCTCCCGCCTGGGGCTCCCGACCCCTCCTTCGCACCCCTGCTCGTCAGTGCTGATTCAAGAGGCACCCTGGCGTCCCTCGCCCCCCGTAGAGCTTTCCTGACCCCCTACTCTGGGCACCTACGGCGTCTCCAGGCCTGTTCTCTGGGCTTCACACCGCGCCTTTCGGAACCCCTCACCCGGAGCTCTTGCTCGTGGTCACCTATTTCCATGACTTCCTCCCCATCTCGTGTTATCTATTTTTCGATTTCTAGCGTCTCTTATGCGGTTGGTGCTTAATACACACGCTTCAAATGAAAGACGAGTAACTTTCCTAACATTTGAAAAGCTTAAAAACAAATCGTTAGGTGGCAGCCGAATCCTTCTGTTAAAACCGGCCATTGCCTGTCCTGATTTCTTGAAACCCACGTGTGGCAGCAGGTGGCGCTCTCTGACACAAAAAGCTCTTCTCACTCACCGGGTCCCTCCCAGCTTCCCCTCTCCCATCCTGGCTCCTTCTAGAAAACAGTGATGCACGGTTTGCCCTAACCTATGTGTGGACACATCCATATTAAAAACCGAAACCATAAACATTCACACAGTTTACTATCAGCAAGGCTACTATTCATTGTCTTCACCAACAAACAAGTCTTTGCTGTTCCCAGAATTGCTTGTCCAGGAAGCGAAGGGTTGCAAAATCAGCCTGTTAACTTTCCAGTCAGTGGCATCAAACAGCTGTTTGCTCCCCAAGAGTTTTCAAAACTCTTGCTGCCCACCAAGCTTCGATTACTATTATATCATAATCTTTACCAAATTCTAATCAAGTCCATATTGAATGACCCCCTTTAAATCAAACCCCGAAATGTCACAGATGTCTTGAGTTTGCCCTCTGGTTTTGAGATTCTACTAGGACTTAACTAGGCAATGATTTCCCTTTTGGAGGTGAGCAATCAGCTCAACTTTGCCTGATCAACACACTGCTTTAGTAGTAACTAGGGGGAGCCAGCATTTGACAATATGACATGTAAACCTGACCAGCCGGTGTATTTAAGGCTCTGCTACTCAAAATGTGGAGTCTGTTAAAAATGCAGAGGCTTAGGCCCCATGCCAACCCTATGGAATCAGGATCTGCCTTTTAACCAGATGATCGCTGTGCGCCTTGAACTCCGAGGAGTGTTGTTCTTACAGTATTCCCCTGGCCTTGGCCTCTAAAGAATAAGTGCAGGCTGAAAATTTAAACTTTAAAGAACAATTGTTTTTTTCTTCTGTTTTTAGTTGAAGTTTATCTAGTTGACATTAAAACCAACAAAAAAGAAGACAGATTTGGAGTTAAGCCTCTGTCTAATTAGGAAGCTCTTGAATTTTGCTTTGGACAAACCTGTCTTAAGAGGATGGGTGGGTTCTTTGTGTTTGGGGAAACATGTATCTACTGAATTCATTTAAATGATTGAAAAAACCCTGCCAGTGTTTCCTGGGAGAGATGTCGAGGCCATGGGCTTGTAGTCCCTGGAGACAGTAGTAATTCACAGGCGGAGTTTGTGCTTGGTAACATTTAGGCAGCTGATTGATGAAATTCTTTCAGGATGTTTTTATCTGGATTTGTTATTTATAACATCCTGTCTTAACATCTTGTATTTGTGCCTTTTTTCAGGTGTGAGCCCCATTTGTCTTAGAGATATCTGTTGCTGTACCAAATAGATGTAATGGAAAGAATGTGGTACTTGAGGTTGGAAGACAGGAATAAAATCACAGTTCTGTCATTTTCTGGCTGAATAACTTGGGGCTATTCCCTTAACCTCTCTGAGCCTCATTTCCTCATCCTAAAATGAGGGAAGTCTTATCTATGTACAGGGGCTGATTTGGGGGTCAAGAGAGATACAGTTTATTATAAAAGTTCTACAAACCAGCCTTTGCACTTATGGTCATTTGTCTTAAACTCTCTGCCAAGAGGACCCACGTGTTACTGTGCATTGCAATAATGGATATTAATGACTTAAGTAATGCACCCCATCACTTTAAGGACAGAGGGGAAAGGCCAGAGTTTCTAGAGATAATGGCTTATCACTCAAACAACTTTTCCTAATGGTGTAAGTCTTGGCAACTTTGGAAGTATAGTAGGCATGTGGTTCTGGTCAGGGATAGCTCCTGTGACCCCTGAGGATCTGACTGGCTTTATTAAGCAACTCTCGGACCAGGCAGCATCCCATCTGGCATGTAGAGAGATGCTCCAAAGTATTGTACAAAAGCGAAGGATTTTATAAGGAGTGGGCAACAAAATTATTAGCAAAAGAAAAGATTATTTCAGGCAAGGTCTTCCTTTAGGGGGAAGAACAGGGCTTATGGGACAGATTACCTCCGTGTGCTGACCAGATAATTACCTATTGATGGCTAACTCGGCAGTTCTTGGGGCCGTTGAAACTGCATTGGGCTAACATTAAATCAGGTTTGGTGAACTGGCCCAACACAAATGACTCACTCTTCAGCCTGTGGCGCTTTTTTTTTAACACACACCCCGCATTGGCTGCCTACCAAATTCTGCATCAGACAGGCTGCATCTATTTTGTTTAAAATATTAAATCAGAAAGTGCACCTGTCCTCTATTGAATTCCCTTTCTTCAAGTAAGTCTCTAAAAAGCACACAAAACACTTTCTTCTTTTCTTTTCTTTTTTCCTATTGCTATTTCATGAGCTGGTTCCCCCTCGTAATTGGTTCTGTGTTCCCACTCAGGCTTATCTACAAACTCCTGGGCCTCCTCTCACGTTGTGCAGAAAAGAACAAAGAGTACCGATCTAGTTGCCGGATTGGTAGAATTTCTAGGAGTAACTGCATTGAGTCTCTGGGCTTCAGACCTTGAGCTGCAGTGAGGCCATTGTGAGACCTCTGAGAATGTTAGGACATTACCAGGTGGCATTCAGGAGTGCTTTTGTAAACATCACTACCGATGAATTTGTGCATAATTCAGTAATGGAAAAACAATAGAAGCAGGAAACAGGGACTCTAAGGGTCAGTTCTGTCTTGCTTTTGTTGTGTGACTAACTTGGAACTGCTGAGTCCTGCGACAGGTTGTGAGTCTTGACTCAGCCAGTGATTAGTTGTTTGGCCTTGGATGGGTTACTTGACTGCTCTGGACCTCAATTCCTTCCTGCAAGACCTGGATTAGATGCTAGGATGATTTTCAGCAGAGTTCTTAGATTCTGTGGAACAGGCAGAGATAGGTGGCTGGAGCCTAGGGTTGTGTTAAGGATCTGTTGATTGCCCCAGGAAACGTGATTGCTCTGAGACCCATTAGGGTGGTGGTTCCAGAGCAGCTGTCTGCGGGGCAAGTGACTAAGGAAAGCAGCAGGCGGTGCTGGGAAAGATCTGGGCCCACCAGGGGCATACTCAGCCCATATATAATACGTCCATTCCTCTCCACCTCTTGCCCCTGTGTTCCTCTGTGAATGTCCTCATATTAATATCTGGAGAGTCTTCCCTCCTTTTTCCAAAGAATCCTTTGCACTACTACAAAAATTATCTTTGGAAAATGCAAATAAGATCATATCACTCCTCTGTTTTAAGTTGTTGACAATTTATCGATAACAGTTGTGTTTGTCATGACACAATACACTCAGAATCTGGCCCCATGTCCATTTTATTAATTGCCCTTGTCTCTATCTCCAAACAAAACCTTCACACAGTCCACATGGCACTTGTATTTTCCCTGCTTTCCATGCACTTTCCTAGTGTCTTGGCTATTTTTACATGCTATTGATTGTATAGGAAACATACTTCTTGAACATCAGGTGAATTGCTCCTCGTATTTCAAGTTGTATCTCCAGGGTTATCCCTTTAATCCCTCTGCTTCCACTGCACTGATCATACTGTAGTACAACTACTGGTCTTTTTCACGCCTGGTTCCCCAACTAGCAGATGAGAGTCAGGGAGGGCAGGCACCTGGTTTTATTTATATTGATTTTCTTTCCTTATTTCTTTGCTTTTATTTTCCTTTACTTTCTTTATTATTCCACTTTGCACACTTTGAATGTGGTAACGCTTCATCAATCTTGTTGAATAAATGCTCTCACAAAGCACAGCAGGAGGAAAGGTACCTTCATCTTCCCTTGACAGGTCTGCTAGGTTTTTATTCTGTGAATTGTTTTTGAAGTTTTCCCTCAACTGTTCACGTTAAAGTATTTCATTAACAAATTAGGGTGAAACCAATAAGTTGGCAGACTTTCAGAATGGTTTTCTCAAGTTCAAGAGCTGGAAATGGAGGTGGGGGCAGAGGTGGTAGGCTGGGGGGTGGGGTAGGGGGTAGGTGGATGGAGTCAAGACCTCTTTATGTAAACGTCCTTCCGGAGGACTTCTTGATGTCATCTGAGACTTTTCGCATTACCCCTAAATGAGACTTGTGCACCACTGGGATGGAAAACGTTCATCCTAAGACTTCAAATTTCCATTCTATTCCTGAAAGATTACACTGCTTGTAATGTATTACAGATTATTTTTTAATTGTAATTATCTTGTAAATAGCAGCAGTAACGCTATACCAGTTGTGTGTTTTAGAATTTCTTAATTAAAAAAAAAATAGCATAGGAGCATCAAAAAATGGAAGTGATTAATGCCCCCTCTTGACCTGTGAGGTTCCTAGGGAAAGTGGGCTATGCAAAATACATTACTGTCACATACCCACCAGGTGAGTAAAACTTTATCACGGAGTTATAAAGAATATTGAGGATTAGAGGCAAACTCTCATATGCATGTGGTGAGAAATTTTAATTGGTATAATTTCTTTGGAAAATAAAATTCTAATTATTTAATACAACTGAATATACCCCAGCAATTCTATTCTAGGGTGTATCTCTTAGAGATACTCTAGCACATGTTCACCACAATAACCACATAAGAAGGTACTTCTTAAGACTTAAGACTGTAATAGTCCCAAACAAGAAATAATTCATATACCCATAATACTAGAATAGATAAATATCTTTTGGTAAAAATCATAAATTGAAATATCATATAACAATGAAATTGAATGGTCTGAAACTACATGAAATAATTTGGTTGTATCTCACACATGTAGTGTAAACTGGAAAGAAAGAAACTCAATGAATACATATAGAAAGTTGAAAAATACAATCTCCTGAACTTCAATGTTCAAAACAATTTGAAGTTGGGTCTTAAAGAGACATTTGCACACCTGTGTTCACTGCAGCATTATTCACAATAGCCCAAGAGTTGGAAGCAATCCAAACATCCAGTGACAGATAAATAAAGAATATGTGGTATGTATGTTCAATGGAAT